TCCATATTGTATGTTATATATTACATGTTGTATATTATATGCTATATATGTTTTATATGTTATATATTATATATTATTATATTTTTTAATCGATATAGATATATAGTTATTACTACACAGTAACGCAAACACCTTCTGCTAGCGCTGTCAGATACGCCCTGTGCCACAGGAGCGGAGATTTTCTGCCTGCAGGCAGGGAGCCCCGGTGGCACTGTCCCCAGCCCGGTGGCACTGTCCCCCCCGGTGGCACTGTCCCCCCCGGTGGCACTGTCCCCCCCGGTGGCACTGTCCCCCCCGGTGGCACTGTCCCCCCCGGTGGCACTGTCCCCCCCGGTGGCACTGTCCCCCCCGGTGGCACTGTCCCCCCCGGTGGCACTGTCCCCCCCGGTGGCACTGTCCCCCCCGGTGGCACTGTCCCCCCCGGTGGCACTGTCCCCCCCGGTGGCACTGTCCCCCCCGGTGGCACTGTCCCCCCCGGTGGCACTGTCCCCCCCGGTGGCACTGTCCCCCCCGGTGGCACTGTCCCCCCCGGTGGCACTGTCCCCCCCGGTGGCACTGTCCCCCCCGGTGGCACTGTCCCCCCCGGTGGCACTGTCCCCCCCGGTGGCACTGTCCCCCCCGGTGGCACTGTCCCCCCCGGTGGCACTGTCCCCCCCGGTGGCACTGTCCCCCCCGGTGGCACTGTCCCCCCCGGTGGCACTGTCCCCCCCGGTGGCACTGTCCCCGCGGCGCTCACCTTCTGCATGGCGGCGCAGAGGATGCCGTTGCCCTGGTGGTACGGCACCTCCACGGAGCCCAGGAACTGCACGTTGAAGCGCTCCACCCAGCACGGGTTCCGCTTCAGGCCTGCGGGCACGGCACGGCACGGCCGTGAGCAACCGCCGCGGCAGGGATGGAGGGGGGGCGGACTCAGGAACCACACGGAACCGGGGAACCACACGGAACCGGGGAATCGCACGGAACCGGGGAATCGCACGGAACCAGGGAATCACACGGAACCAGGGAATCACACAGTCATGGAATAATACAGAATCAGGGAATCACACGGAACCAGGGAATCACACAGTCTCAGGGAACCAGGGAATCACACGGAACCGGGGAATCGCACGGAACCAGGGAATCACACGGAACCAGGGAACCACACAGTCACACGGAACCAGGGAATCGCACAGTCACAGGGTCAGGGAACCACACGGAACCGGGGAATCACACAGTCACAGAATCATGGAATCATACAGAACCAGGGAATCGCACAATCACAGGGTCAGGGAACCACACAATCACAGGTCAGGGAATCACACAGAATCAGGGAATCATAAATCATCACACAATCACAAAATCACACAGAGTCAGGGAATCACACAATCACGGAATCTCAGGATTACAAGATCTTGAAATCCTGGAATCACACAGAATCACACAACCACAGGGTCAGGGAATCACACAATCACAGGTCAGGGAATCACACGGAATCAGGGAATCATAAATCATCACACAATCACAAAATCACACAGAGTCAGGGAATCACACAATCACAGGTCAGGGAATCACACGGAATCAGGGAATCGCACAATCATGGAATCATACAGAATCAGAGAATCACACAAAGTCAGGGAATCACACAATCACAGGGTGAGGGAATCGCACGGAATCAGGGAATCACGCGGAATCAGGGAATCATGCAATCACAGAATTGGGGAATCATAAAGAATCACAGAATCGCACAATCAGGGAATCACATGGAATCAGGGAATCATACAGAATCAGGGAATCACAGTCACAGAGTCATGGAATCACACAATCACAGATTCAGGGAATCATAAATCATCACACAATCACAAAATCACACAGAGTCAGGGAATCACACAATCACAGGTCAGGGAATCACACGGAATCAGGGAATCACACGGAATCAGGGAATCATGCAATCACAGAATTGGGGAATCATAAAGAATTACAGAATCGCACAATCAGGGAATCATACAGAATCAGGGAATCACAGTCACAGAGTCATGGAATCACACAATCACAGATTCAGGGAATCACACGGAACCAGGGAATCATAAAGAGTCACAGAATCACACAATCATGGAATCACACAATCATAGAATCACACACAATCAGGGAATCACAGAATCACACAGAATCAGGGAATCACACAATCAAGGAATCTCAGGATCACATGATCATGGAATCACAGAATCACACAATCAATCACACAGGATCGCAGAGGATCACAGAATCACACACTAACAGAATCACATACAATCACACACTAACAGAATCACACAATCACAGAGTCAGGGAATCACACAATCACAGAATCAGGGAATCACACAATCAGGGAATCTCAGGATTACAAGATCTTGAAATCCTGGAATCACACAGAATCACAGAATCACACAATCACAGAGTCAGGGAACCACACAATCAAGGAATCTCAGGATCACATGATCATGGAATCACAGAATCACACAATCAATCACACAGGATCGCAGAGGATCACAGAATCACACACTAACAGAATCACATACAATCACACACTAACAGAATCACATACAAACACACACACAATCTCAGAATCACACAGTAACAGAATCACACAATCACACACAATCACACAGAATCACACAGAATCACAGAGCATCACAGAATCTCACACAATCACACAATCACATGGAATCACACAGAATCACACAATCACACAATCACACACAGTCACACAAAATCACAGAATCACACACAATCACACACAATCACACAGAATCACATGGAATCACATATTCCCAGAATCACACACAATCACACGGAATCACGCAGGATCACAGAGAATCACAGAATCACACAGAATCACACACAATCACATGGAATCACATATTCCCAGAATCACACGGAATCACACAGAATCACACAATCACACAATCACACACAGTCACACACAGTCACACACAGTCACACAAAATCACAGGATCACACACATTCCCTGGGTTGGGAGAGACCACGATTTCCACCACTGACCCTTTGATTATCAATAACTCCCCATTTCTTGTGAAGAAATGACATACACATTGGGGAAAAAATATCATAACCATTGTGAAAAAAATGCCATTCACCACCCCCAAAATCAAATATTCACTGTTGCACGATGGGGCGGGGGGGCAACCAAACTAAAAAATTCCCAGAGGATGTAAAAGAACTCAAAGAAACATTTAAATATGTATAATCCTCATGAATAGGTATGCAATCAAGGTAATAAAAAAGAAAATCAATATAGAAATAATAGAAATAAATATAGGAATAAATATGGAAATATAAAAATAAAGAATAGAAATAAATGTAGAGATAAATATACAAATAAATATAGAAATAATAGAAATAAATATAGGAATAAATATGGAAATATAAAAATAAAGAATAGAAATAAATGTAGAGATAAATATACAAATAAATATAGAAATAATAGAAGTAACTATAGAAATAAATATCAAAATACAGAAATAAAGAGTAGAAATATAGATATAAATATACAAATAAATATAGAATTAAACAAAATGAATATAGAAATATAGAAATAAAGAATAGAAAGAAATATAGGGATAAATATACAAATAAATATAGAATTAAACAAAATGAATATAGAAATATAGAAATAAAGAATAGAAAGAAATATAGGGATAAATATACAAATAAATATAGAATTAAACAAAATGAATATAGAAATATAGAAATAAAGAATAGAAAGAAATATAGGGATAAATATACAAATAAATATAGAATTAAACAAAATGAATATAGAAATATAGAAATAAAGAATAGAAAGAAATATAGAGATAAATATAGAAATAATAGAAATAAATGTAGAAAGAAATATATAAATACAGAAATAAATACAGAAATAAATATCAAAATATGGAAATAAAGAATCAAAATAAATATAGAAATAAATATACAAATAAATATAGAAAAATAAATATAGAAATAATAGAAATAAATATAGAAATATAGAGATAAATATACAAATAAATACAGCAAAATAAATCTAGAAAATAAAAATTTCTATAATAAAGCAGTGCGACCACGCTACGACCACACCCCCAACGCTTTCATCCCTTATGAAAAATGAAAACCATTGATGAGCAAAGCTCGTTTCTCACAGAGAGGCCCCCCGAGCCCCCAGAGAGGTCCCCCCGAGCCCCCCGAGCCCCCCGGGTGGGTCCCGGGCGCGTACCCGCGGCGTCGCGGGCCTGTCCCACCACCTCGTGGGCGTAGAAGGCGGGGAAGATGCCGCGCTCGCCCGTGCGCATGTTGTAACCGCGGTACCAGTAATCGTCCTCCTCCAGCTCCACCAGGATGGGATCGTCCACGTCCAGCTCCAGCTCGTCCTCGTGGCGCGGGATGAACCTGGGGGGATGCGCGGGGCACGGCGTGGGGACGTGGGCAGCCCCAAGCCACGGCTGGGACCTCAGGTCAGCCCAAATTCACTGCCCTGACCTCGGGTCAGCCCAAATTCACTGCCCTGACCTCCTGGTCAGCCCAAAGCCAGTGCCCTAACCTTGGGGTCAGCCCAAAGCCACAGCCCTGACCTCGGGTCAGCCCAAATTCACTGCTCTGACCTCGGGTCAGCCCAAATTCACTGCCCTGACCTCCTGGTCAGCCCAAAGCCAGTGCCCTAACCTTGGGGTCAGCCCAAAGCCACAGCCCTGACCTCGGGTCAGCCCAAATTCACTGCCCTGACCTCCTGGTCAGCCCAAAGCCAGTGCCCTAACCTTGGGGTCAGCCCAAAGCCACAGCCCTGACCTCCTGGTCAGTCCCAAATTTACTGTCCTGCTCTCCTGGTCAGTCCCAAAGCCACGGCTGTGACCTCCTGGTCTGTCCCAAATTCACTGCCCTGACCTCCTGATCAACCCCAAAGCCACAGCCTGGCACCTCTCAGGTCATCAGCACCCCAAATTCACTGCCCTGACCTCGGGGTCAGCCCCAAATCCACTCCACTCACGTTCTCATCACCCCCAAAGCCACTCCCCTCAGCCATTCACCAAATTCCACCCTGCTACACCCCGACCTCCTGGGCACCCCCAAACCCAGACCCACACCCCCTTCACACTCTGGGCACCCCCAAACCCACACCCCTGACCCCCGGGGCACCCCCAAACCCAGACCCACACCCGTGACCTCCTGGACGGGTCAGCCCAAATTCACTGCCCTGACCTGGGGGTCAGTCCCAAAGCCACGGCTCTGACCTCATGGTGTGCCCAAAGCCACGGCTGTGACCTCGGGGTCAGCCCAAAGCCACAGCCCTGCTCTCCTGGTCAGCCCAAATTCACTGCCCTGACCTCGGGGTCAGCCCAAATTCACTGCCCTGACCTCCTGGTCAGTCCCAAAGCCACGGCCCTGACCTCCTGGTCAGCCCAAAGCCAGTGCCCTAACCTTGGGGTCAGCCCAAAGCCACAGCCCTGACCTCCTGGTCAGTCCCACTGGGCACCCCCAAACCCAGACCCACACCCCCTGGGCACCCCCAAACCCAGACCCCCGTGCCAGCTGTGGGGTGCCACCTCCGTGGGGACACAACACCCCCAGAGCCCAGGACAGCCCCCCCAGCAGCAGGCAGGGAGCCCTGGGGTGGCACTGCAGGGCCCTGGGTGTCCCTGGCAGGGGCCGGGGGTCCCCTGGGTGTCCCTGGCAGGGGCCGGGGGTCCCCTGGGTGTCACCTGGGGTGGCCTCACCTGAAGACGGCGCGGTGGGTCTGCTCCCGCTCCTCGCCGTTCACCATGCAGGAGAACAGCCCGAAGGACTCTGTGCCTGCGGGGACAGCGATGCCAGGGCCTCGGGGGACAGCTGCCACCCCCGTGGGGACAGGGAACAGCTGCCACCCCCGTGGGGACACAGGACAGCTGCCACCCCACGGGGACACAGGACAGCTGCCACCCCCACCAGGACACCCCCACCCACGTCCCTGAGGGGCACTCGTGGGGTCAGAACCCTCCTGGGGGTCCCACCTGCCCCACCCAGCAGAGCAGGGCAGGGGATGGGGCACGGTGAGCCTGCCCCGTCTCCTGTGACATGTCACAGCATCCCAGACATGCCGTAACATATCGTGACATGACATGGCACATGGGAACGGTGACAGGGACAGGACAGCAGGGCAGATGGTGTGAGAAGAGCCAGGACAGTGTGGCACAACATGTGACGACATCCCGTGACATATCATGACATCCTGTCGCACACCGTGACATGTCGTGACATACAACAACAGGACACGGGAACGGCTGGGGCAGGACATGGAGGGCAGCCGGCGTGCCAAGGTCACCCAGACCAGCCCAGGACACCGTGACATGTCACGACACGTCACAACATGTCCCAGCACGACGCCACCACTTACTGGAGGAGCGCGAGGTGCTGTTGACGAAGACGTTGAGGAACTTCTTGGAGAACTGCAGGTCGGCCTCGGGGGACGAGTCCTCAGAGGAGCTGCGCGCGTCGGGGGCCACCAGCCCGTCCCCGAAGGCCACCTCGTCGTCGCAGGCCCTCAGGATGTCGCTGTCGTCGCTGAGCACGGACGTGCAGCGCCGCAGGCTGACCAGCTCCAGCTGCGTGTGCTCGTCCACCACCAGCGTGTACTTCACCGAGTCGTAGGCCAGCGACTCGTCCAGCGCCGGCGGCTCCGGCGGCACCGGCGCCTCCCCGGCCGGGCTGCCCCGGCGCGGGGCCACCAGGGGCGGCTCGGCCTCCTCCAAGGCCATGGCGAAGCCGCGGTTGGTCTTGGCCGTGGACACGTCCAGCGCGGCGGGGTCGGCGTCGGGCGCTAACCGGACGTCGTCGATCATGGAGTCGGCCTCCAGCACGCCCGAGTCCAGCTCCCCGTCGAGGGCCCAGCGCCGGGGGCTGGCGGGGCGGCGATCCCCGCCGGGGACGGCGGGCTCGGGGCCGGGGGACGCCCGTGGCACTGACGCCGGGCGGCAGCCCAGGGGGGCCAGGACCTCGGAGGCGTCCAGGCGGCCGAGGGCGACGGGGCGGCCGGGGCACACGGGCGCGATGGTGTCGTTGGTGGGGTTGCTGAGGAGCAGGAAGGGCCCCGGCTCCTCGGCCGGCGGCTCCGGCGGCGGCTCGGCGGCCGCGTGCTCCGCCTCGGCCAGGGAGCTGCGCAGCGTCTCCATGTCCACCAGCTCGATGGCGCCG